AAGGGGTTCTATGAGAAGTAACCTCTCTGGGAGACCTGGTCATAAATCCCTGATTGGGCTGTCATAGTGGGTAGATAATTCCAGGCACATAACTTTTTAGAAAAAAGTTTATCTTTGCCTTAAGCAAACCCTGTTCATTGTTTCTGTCTTTTAAATTAGTTTAACAATCCTCAAGAAAGCACATGATCTTAACTATCCTGTAATCTAATTCCATTTCCATGCTTTCTTCTCTCATCCCCCTTAATTTCAAATGTATAAAAGAAGATGCAAAATTGTTATTCTCTGGAGTGTTTGAGATCTTTCTCCCTAGCATATATTGTCAGTTTGGCTCAAATTAACTCTTACAAAAATTCTCTGCAGGTTTGGATGTTTCTTACCTTAACACTGCCATACACTACCTTACCAGAACTGTGAGCACACACTCTGCATTTAATTTTCTATTGCTTTCTGTTCTAAGTTACTTTACCCTGCTCTACCTTACCCTATCCCATTTTAAATATTAAAAAGCTGGATGAGACCCATCAAATTGGTTTCATGACCCACTAAATGCTCCTCTAGGACATTTTCAAGTGACTTTGAGTATTGGAAGTCTGTGCCATTTACCTCCTGACCTCTTTCCACACGAAAAGTGACTTAAAGGAATTGGCTCTCAAGATTGTCTTCCACTGAATACATATGGGGGCCTACACTCTTCCATGGGCTTCAGGTTATTTCCATTAGAGGCTGCAAGTGTCCTGTACTGTACCAGAAGGGGTACATTCCCCAGAGTGGAGGTTTTACTAAGGAGAAAAGTTAAGGAACCACCAGTCAAAAGTACTTACTGTGTCTTTCTTATATAAAAGGCATTATAAAGATGTTTTGGGGGATACTCAAAAATGTACATCAGAGGAGTACGAAATCCAGTGAGCAGAAGATAAAAGCCAAATGAGTAAACAACACATGAACTGCCACTAAGGAGGATGGTTAGCTGTTGAGTGGGGGACTTTCGGCAGGAACATTGTGAGTACAGAGCAAGGTGATAGGATTGTAGCAAGAACAAACTGGATGTTTTCATGCAAAGGCCTGGATTAGTTCTTGCAAAATAGGTAGGATTTAGTGTAGGGGTTACCTTCCTGGTGAAGAGAGCAAGCAAGGAGCACATGGCGTGCTCGGCACAGTCCTGGAGCTTGGGCATCAGAACTAGTAAGAAAAGTCCAAGCACCAACCAGAGCTGAGATAGAGAACCTTGGACATGGAGAGGGTGTACAGACTGAATACAGGGAACTAGTCCCACATTTAAGGAGCAGGTCGTAGAGCTGGTGAATGGCGCAGTGAAGTACCCTTTGGCAAAGACCAAAGTCATGGAACATTAAGGAAGGTGGTCAACAAAGTCAAATGTTCCAGAGGCCCAGACAACTGAGCACTGAGGAAGAACCTCTGGCTTTGAACTAGATGTGCCAAGTCTCTTTAATGAGGGTAGTAGCTTTTGACCAAATTGTCTACCTGTGTGGACTAATCTGTTATCACTTTCAGCTCCATTTTTTGGATTTTCACACTGTGTTTAACTATCATATGAACTGGTCCAAAGTATCCAGTGAAAACAATAAAGTTCATCGTCAGTCCTCATTCCTTCCCAGCTGTCCAGAGCCATGTGAGGTTTTTAAGGTCTTCCTTCCGTAACCACCCTTTTTCTGCTCACAGAAAAGCAGCTGTTTCCATTTACTACTGTCATCCATTCTCTTTAAGTGGCTTGTATTGGGACCTTGCATTTGGAGTTTGCACTGTAACTGTGGCCAGCTGCCTTGCAAATGCAAGTGACTGACTGGTCACAGGGGAAACCAGATGAGGGATGGGTAGATCAGGTGAACCTATCATCCCTACTACAAAACATGTGTTCAGCTGATAGCAGATCAGTATCATCTTCTACAGGAGTAAAGGAATCTATTTAAATGCTTATTATATATGCAGAGTTGTGACTGAATTGACAGAGGTGACAGTCTTGGTGTTGCTTCTATAAGGATGTCACTACTGCTTAATACTCAGATTTTGTTCTGGATTTTATTACTTGCATGCTGACATTTATTCTGCACAATATAAGCTATGATCGTGTAGACTTTAGTTTCTTTTCTTTGTCTTAGAGATTGGATTCCAGCTGCTATCAACGGCTTCCTAATTTATACTGAATAATTTTCATAATTGAACCCACTATATAGGTAGCTCCTTAATATTTACTAACTACATTGTGGGCTGAATCAGATAGAATATGCAGATATATACTGGCATGAAGAATATTATTTTAATAGTTGGCACTAGAGTTTTCCTGGTGTTTTCTTTGTGTAGAAAAATAAACAGTTTAGGAATAGTAGGTGGCCCTGAAAGTAGGATTAGGAGACAGGGATACTAAACATACTGTATAATAGAGAGGAGAATGGAAGCAATGGGAACAGACAGTGGAGAGTGGGAAGTTGCAGTTTACACTGAAAGAGGATGGGATCCGTGTATCCAAATGCTGATGGGATACAGGGAACTCTAAGAGGAGGGAATTCCAATTTTAGGTCACTTGCAACCTTCATTTAAAACCCCTCAGTTGTTCCAAAACTTCAGAGGAGTCTGCTACACAAACAACCAAAGAAAATGTTGTGTGTCAGCAGGAGATGAGATATGAGGGGGCCTTCATGTTCAGAGAAAGCAAAACTTGGAGCCAGAGTGACTCTGAAGTCATTAACTCCCAGGGCATATGGGATCTTGGAGAGAACAGTGGCCTCTCCACAGGTGGTGGAAAGGGACTTGAATCAATCTCAACAAAATTTCTGTGAACAAGGTGACCCCAACTGGAATGGGATAACATACACAGGAGCTTGTTCTTTTTAATCATAATTTCTCAAGAGACATTTATTACCAGAAAATGATATAGTCAGTAATTTCCCCCTACTTATTTAACCTCAGGCCTTATTTTCCCCATGAGCAAAATCTGGAAATTAGACCTAAACTATCTCTATGGTTTATGTGAGTTTATAGCTCTAATAATACTCTTGGAGATACAATACAAAGAACAGATTGGTGGTTGCTAGAGGTGCAGGTGGAGGGTGGGTGAAATGGATGAAGGGGGTCAAAAAGTACAAATTTCCAGTTATAAGGTAACTTCTGGGGATGGAATGTACAGCATGGGGACCAATAATACTATATGGTACATTTGAAAGTTGCTAAGACAGTAGATCTTTTAAAAATCCACTCATATTTTTATTTTTTGATGCAAATTCACATACAGTGAAATGTACAAACCATAGGTATATCATTCCATGGGTTTTGACAAATACATATACCTCTGTAACCCTAACACTAAGTGAGTTAGAGAGCTTTACCAAAACTACAGAAAATTCCCTCTTAAGTCAAACCCACCCTCGCCTCCAGGCTACCCTTACCACGATGAATAAATAATTAATAATTAAAATTTATTGTTGAATGCCAGGCTTTGTTTTATAATGCTGTACCAGCATCAAGGCTTTCATTTCTCACAAGCTCTACTGTAAGATGGATATTACCTGGATATATTGAGGATATATATTACCTGGATATACCTACCCAATGTAGCTTAGGACCTCAACGAGGAAGGAGGTAGAAGCTAATCTCAGTTTGTACCACACTGCATTGTGGGGGTTCAGAACAAGTCATCCCAAAATGTGCCTCTGGTAATGCAGATTGTTTTAGGCTAAAGGAAACTTAAGCCACCTGCTCAAGAAAAATTTCTTCCTGTCCCTTAACTACTTAGTGGACTTGAATTAGGGGCCTTGCCCATAATGAGATTATCACTTTTGACCTCTCTTATAGGGTAGGCAAACATTTACTAAACATCTGTTTTTCTTATCCTCTTGCAATGATCCTTTGAAGCCCCAAGGTGCATTACCTCATCCCTAGCTCAGGTTATCTTATACATCCATTTCCCCCTTTCTGTCTTTGAACCTCTCCTGCATGTGGGGGTCTCTGATCTCTTATATATTAAGTTTGGTCATTTTCTCTTGCTTATCTGTCTAGAGGACAGAGGAAAGTTGGCTCCTCCCCCAACAGCATCTGAGATGGTGCAGGGAGTCCACAAAATATTACAGATCAAAATGCAAGGGAAACCCATGCTACTTGCAAGTTCCCAAACCTCCTGAATCATCCTAAATGCCGAATGCACTATACCTTCCTAAAAGATTCCCTTCTCTCCCATTGCTCAGAATACAGTGGGAGCAAGGAGGTGTGAAAGGTTGCAAATGCGATTACACTGGTGAGCAGCTCAAACCGAGGTGGCTCAGACAGCAAACAGGTCTTGGGCAGAGCCCAATGGGCGGCGGGAGGGGCCGGCTGGGTCTCCCTCCTTTGATGACACAGGCGTCTTCTCGGAATTCAGCCGCATCCACGAGCTCAGCCGCAGGAACAGGACAGGAGTCCTGCCACGCGGATGGCCGCTGGCAGGGCTCGTCAAGCAGCTCCATTGCTCAGTCAGTCAGCCGTTCTCATCAACGTCACTGTCTTCTCTTCCAGGGGCACCTTTGCGCCTCCTTTCCCCACGCAGGCCGGGCGGGTTCTGGGCTCCTCCCCTGAGCAGACTCCTAGCACTCCCTCACTACCACCACCGCGCAGCTCGCGCTGCCATGGCAACCGTAGGCCTGTTCACGCTCGTCGTGAACTAACGGACTTGGCGTTGTCCGAGGCCAGGGCCCCACCCCCACCGCACCCCACCTGGACCGCCATTATCAACAGACGGTTGACCTACAGCACCTGGGTAATGAGGCCAACAGAGACCGGGCCGAGGGGGAGAGCAGGCAGTGGGGTGCCCAGGGTGACAGCCACACCCCATTCCCCGTGGCTGGCCCTTGGGCGCCGAGAGCCGCGCGGAGACGGATTGAGCCTCGGGGCTCCAGGCTCGTGGGCCATTGTGGGGATTGTAGTTCCGCGGCCCCTGGGACTCGCGGCTTCGGCTGGGGGGCTTGGACGGGAGAACTACAAAGCCCAGTGGCACCTACGGCTGGAAGGGACTGGTAAACTTTCAGCGGACCGTGAGGGAGGAAAAAAAAAATCTCTCTTTGTGGTGAGGGGCTCCTGGGTGGTCACGGAACCGGGCGCTGTGCATTAGGAAAGGGAATTGAAGGTGAGATTTGACTTATCGCCGGTCTATGGTGCCCGCCTCGGCTGCCGGGCTCTGTTCTCGCCGGCGGGGCAGCGCCTCGCTAGGGCTCGGGGTGGAGCAGCCACCCCGCAGCGGGGCCACCGGCCTGCGGTACCTCTGACCCGCCCAGGTTGCTGCCTCTTCGTGCAGAACCGTGTGTATAGCACACGTTTGATGTAAGACCTGACAAGCTGTATTTTATCAGGCTCTCTTCTTTTCCCTGATACGTTTATTTCTAGGTTTTTAATCATGTGTATTTTGCAGTAGCCCAGAGGCGTTTGCATATTAAACCCATTGATTAATAATTTCCCAACGGGTATTGATGTTTAAAGGTTAAGTGTAGAAGTGGATCAAAGATACCGTGCTATTATTATATAGTAGTATCTGAAGTTTTTACCGTTTTGCATTTTTGAATTTTATTTTTGGGGGGACAGGATTGCAAAATGGGTTACCCTCACCCCCAGCTTGAGCAGTGCCTACATGTATTTTGATTTTACGTTGAAGATTAATTGAACTTTAAATTACAGTACTAGTTATTTTTAAAGCACAGACTTTTTTTTCAAGCACTGAGTACTAACATTTTCTTTGATTAATCCATTGTTTTTTGGAATTTTTTAGGCGCATGTTTTCAGGATGGAAAATGCCATATTCTATTTGTTATTATTATTATCATTACTCTGGAGTACACCTTAGTCCCTAGAGTTGGTTGGTGGCCTGAGGCTCCAGTGGTAGTAAGAAAGCTGATACAGATTTAGGCAACCTTACTTGACCCTTTAACATTTTTTTGATAGGTAGATAGCCATCCTAGAAATTTGGCATTTTTATAGTATGTTGTAAAATTATTGGTATTATTGTATGCTCATTTGTGTGTGTGTGTGTGTGTATGTGTTTACAAAAATAAAGCAACATAAGTCCAGTGTAAAATTCCTTTTCTCTCAATTAAAATGAAGCTGGTCTCTAAATTTTACTTAAAACAGCAATTTTGTGCAAAGGGATGGAAAGTAGGTTTAGTAAGACTATTAGAAAAAAAAATGGAAGCCTTCTGTTATATAGTAGAGGGATTTGAAGTATTTTATTTATTCGTTCAGGATTTATTAAGAACCTGTTATGTGCCAGACATTATTCCAGGTGGTGGGAATATAGAGATGGTAGAAGATAGTGTGTGTCCTGCATGGGGAAGAGTTGTAGTGTGATACATACAGTGCAAGTTGCTATAGGAGCCCAGAGTGGGAATGAATAGTAACATAACATTGACATTTATTTAATGCTTACTCTTTGGGAAGCACTGTGCAGTATATTTTTTAATGCAGCATGTTATCAAATCCTCACAATCTTGTGAAGTAGCTACTGTCATTTCGAGATGAGGAAACAGATTTACAGAGACTTTCCTAAAGTCATAGCCGATAAGTTGTGAGCCTGGAATTTCAGACCACATGGGTCTAACTCATCTAAGTCAGGATCTCAAACTAGTGCCATTTTCTGTACACATTGGTAGGAAGATCCTGATTTTGTCTAAGGAGATCAGGGCAAGTCCAGTATGATAGGACGTTTGACTTGTGCTGAGAAAGTTGAGTAAACTTTCACTGGAGAGAGGATGAGGAAAGTCATTCTGGGCAAATGGAACAACTTGCTTTTTGGATAGATTTGAGTGCTTTGTATTTGGGGAACTCTAGGCCATTCTGATGACTGAATCCCAGAATACATGCAATGTAGCAGGACAGGCCAGATCTCAAAGTGCTTGGTAAACAGTTTAGAATTTTTCTTCAATGTGGGGTGACCATTGAAGAGTTTCAAGTGTAGTGTTATGTGGTTTGTAGTTTAGAAAGAAAACTCCAGCTCCAGTGTGGCAGACAAGCCTACCAGAGGATAGAGTGGTGGTGGGGAAACCAATTTTAGAACAGCAACAAAGTCCTGTAGAGAAATGAAGAGAGTTTGAACTAAGCCATTGGAGTTACAGAAGGGGATGGATTGTAGAATTACTTGCGAGGTAAAATTAATCAGACTCAGGAGTTTGATGTTGGGGGCTAGAAAGATACAGAACCCTAAGACAACTGATGCCTAGTTTTCTGGCTAGAATGAGTGACAGGATCATGAAACCATTGATTGAGGTGAAGTAGAGCAGGTTTTTGTGGATGTGAAAGATAAAGATAAAGTAGTTCAGTTTTGAGTATTCATTCCAGGTTCCTGTGGGGTATTCAGGTAAGCATGCCTGTGGATCTGGAGTTCAGGAGAGAGCTCACGGCTGGAGGTAGAGGTTTGCATACAGATCAGTAGTGAAGTGATAGGAGGGAACGGACCACCTCAGAGGAGGATGCTTAGAAATGAAAAAGGGAGAAGTTTGAATATGGAACTCTTGCAAAGTAGCGGCATTTACACTGTGTGTGTGTGCGCACACACGCAGGTGTCTTGGGACATTTTGAGAGGAAGTGGGAGAAAAGCTGACACAGGATGCTGAGATTAGGAGGTAAGAGGAAGAACCCCAGAGAGCATGCAGAACAAACAACAGAGGAGAAGGAGAAGAAGCAGTGAGGAAGCCAGAGTATCAGGTGCCTTAGAGAGGGCAAGTAAGGTAAAGATTGAACAGTGTCCAAAGAATTGGTGGCTCTGAATCATTTCTAACCTTTGCAAAAACGAGGCAGAGGAATCTGAGCATAGGCTGTTTGAAAAAAAAGTTTAAAATTTTTCATAATGACACATATCAAAAGAAAGTGAATGAGCCCCCATGTAGCCATCACCTAGCTTGAAGCATGAACACATAACTACTTTTGTTTCATTTATAATGCCTGCCCCCCCCAACTGGATTATTTAAAGCTAAACTCAGATATCATATCATTTTATCTGTGATTTCAAAATATGTATCTTTAAAAGTTATGGATTAGTTAAGAATATATAAATATAATATCCTACTTTAAAAAATTGACAGTACTGCCTTAATGTGGAATTTCTAGTCCCTTTTTAAAAAAGATTTTATTTATTTATTTTTAGAGAGGGGAGGGAGGGAGAAAGAGAGAGAGAGAGAGAGAGAAACATCAATGTGTGGTTGCTGGGGGCAATGGCCTGCAACCCAGGCATGTGCCCTGACTGGGAATTGAACTTGCGATACTTTGGTTTGCAGCTCACGCTCAATCTACTGAGCTATGGCAGTTAGGGCCATAGCTCATTTTACTGAATTTCTACTCTCTTTAAAAAGAAGTTCTACTTTTTGAAAAGAAGCTTGGCTATGTAAAAAAGAAAGTGATAAGGCAGTAAGTCAAAAAGTTTGTAGGGTTTTTTGTTTGTTTTAAAATTGATAACAAATTATTAGGGAAAAAGCCAATGAAGAAGAAATGTTTGAAGATGTAGGGGATGAAGAAAGAGGAGAGAGCTGATAGAGGTCTGTCTCCCTAAATGTAAGGAAGGATGGGATGAGCAGGGTGAAAGAATTAATTTGTTGCATTTTATAAGTATCAACTAAGTGCTGGCTGTATTCCTAGTGTTGATAGAAGAGAGATGTACTGAAAAAGGAAGAGAAGAGGTACAGGGATATTTACAGGTTGGGTAATGAAAGGTGAGCAAGTTCTGCACTATGGTTTCTAAGAGGTGGGTGCAGTAACAGTCCACTGATAAGGGAAGAGACTGGGGTTAGGAACGGAGAGTGTTGGGATATGGCATAGCTGTGGTGAAAGGGGACTGAGCTGGAACAAGTAAGAATTGTCTCACTGAGCTGAGATTAGAAATAAGTAATTTTCATTGACAGCAAAACACGAGGTTATGTGATTATTTTCCTTAAATTTTGATTGATTGATTTACTAACGGAGAGCTTAATATATTGAGGAAACTTGTGCTACTGAGGGGAAGAGATCAAGGCTAAGAATTTATAATTGGACCATTCCTAAACAGTTTTGGATTTATTAATTTAATTGATAATTATTATATATTTTATGTAAATATCATAGTAAAATTAGGCCCTTACAGATAGTTTGGATTGATACTTTGTACTTTATTTTCTCAACATGTGCATTTGTATTCTTTTAGAGAGAACATTCTCCAGGGGTCAGTCACTGAGTGGTGTAGTGAAAGGAGTCAGGCAGACAGGTTGTCTAGTTCTGGAACTACACTTAGAGTCTGTGATCACAGGCAAGTTTCCAGACCTGTACCCATACTCAAAAAGATGTAAATACTGTCTATATTTTATAAGATTATTGGGAAGATTAGACAGTTTTATGGAGGTAAACCTTTAGTGCTCAATAACTGAAGACCTTTCTCTTCCTTGTCTCCCCCTCCTTACCAACAATGGGACAGGATTGTCATTTCTGTTGGACACAAGGCCATGTTCTGGGACTTGACGTGACCATATGAGGCAGGTAGATCAGGTAGTAACATTTCAAAATGATGATTTGATATGTAAAAGATTCATCAATTATTCTTTTAAATGAGGCTTCCTTAAAAACTATAAAGTGTTATTTTACAGTCTGTTAATAATAGTAATGCCTTTGACTTGGTTTCATATTCAAAGAAACAGAGTTCCATTATGTGATTTGAGATCCCAGTAGTACTAAAATTTTTCGATTCTCTGACTACATCTCATTTCTGTGCTGATTTATATTATGATTTCACTAATAGTTGAGCATCTGTTTATAAAGGAACATATATGTACCGCATTTTTGGACTATCAGACGCACTTTTCCTGCCCCCCCCCCCCCAAATTTGGGAGGAATAATGGTTGTTAATGCTGCTGTTGAGTTCTGTTTACATTTATATTAGTGTAATATTATGTTTTTATGTTATTAAATATTTTGCCACATTTTTTGCTTCAATTTTTTTTCCTATTTTCCTCTAAAACCTACATGCGTCTTATGGTCCGAAAATGCAGTATATTTTAATGTACTCAGCATTTTTTAAGTACTTTCTCTCCTAGATAAACATACATGGTAGACCTAGTGAAAATATGCATCAGAATACCTGATAAAAGTCAGGTATGTACAAGCATGTGTTAGATAAAGTTAAGGCATAGATTTGTGAGAGTAGTGTAAAAAATGGAGTAATTTTCTAAAGTGAGTTTTTTAATCTCCATTAGCTGTCTTTTGGTAGGATGGTTTGATTGCGGTTTTATTTGAAGGTACGGAGCTGGAATAAATGACCTGTTAAGTCTCTTTCTAACTTTGTAATTGTAAATTAATGATTGTCCATTAGTAATTGTTGATGAGAAGCTCCTATTAAGCCTGTCTTTTTAGTGAGCCCCAGTTATTATATATTCTTTGAAGTCAAGAATTAGGTTGGTAACTCCACACGGCCTTACATAGTTTCTTACATAGTTATAGGTATTTGCTAAATGGGGTAGATGCTTACCAAATAGTGTAGGTTGGATGATGAGTTTTTGAGTGAATAAATATGATAAGAAAATTACTTGTTTAAAGACTGCTTGATAAAGTAATGCGAAACAGGATTTTGAAAGGTTTTGTGTTATATTATTTAAAAAACTATGAAATTAAGGAACAATTGTATTTGTATAGGCAATCTGACCAAGATACATTATTTTATTTCCACTAATTAGCTTTTTATTTTTATTTTTTGGTTAGCTGTGTAACTGAAGGAGTTGATATATTTTAAAGGCATTTGAGGCAGGAGAGAGTATAATGAGCCAACAGAGCAGGCTCTGACTTAAACATACCTGGGTGCAAATCCAGGCTCTGGGTAAGTTTAAATTCTTTAAAGTCTCAGCCTCCTCTTCTATTAAATGGGATTCATCATTTTTATTTAGTAGTGTGGTTAGGATTAAATGAGATAATGACTAGTAAGCCATTTTCATCACATTGCCTGATGTGGATTAAGCATTCTATAAATGTTGTCACTGTTATTTTCATGCTAAAAGGGTATTTATGCACTTCAGACTTACAGTTTAAGTTGCCATTTGAGACAGAGTGGCAGGTGATAAACATTTTTTTTATCTTCTGTAATATTTTAAAGATGCCAGTAGACATTAGTACATGGGCAGAAATTACTGTGATAATTATTTTTGAGAAACAGTTAAGGTCTTAGAATTATCTGTCTAGATTCTTTTATGTTGCATGGATAGTTATTTTTCTGTTCTTTAAGTATTTGGGAAGTGAGCTTAGGTAAGGAAACAAATGAAAAGGCTTCATTTGCTACAGACATTCACCTGTTATTTCTGGTTTGTGATTAAGTTCGTATTTTCTATTATTCATGGCAAGTTCTTGAAAATATAACCCAACACAAAAAGGTGCTAGGAGTTGTAACTTTTCAAATTAACTATTTTACTGATGAGTATTCATGTAGTAGGCTAATTTATTGCTGTTAAAACATATTTCAAGATGTAATCATTTGAGAAGTTGTGGTTATGTGTTTTTTAAAATTGCTTGTATTTATAATAGTCATTGTGTGAAATAAACTGGACTTCGGTGATTTGGATAAGTATTAAAAATATGACATAAACAATGTTGGGGTATTACCTGAAGGAGTGGGGATTGTTGGGTGGAGGGGGCAAAGGGGGAAAATCAGAAAAACTGTAATAGCATAATCAATAAAATGTAATTAAAAAATGTATGTAGAGCCTGGACATAAGTAGAATTCATTGTAGAACAAAATGCTGAAAACCAGAGTTGATTTGTTGTTGTTGTGTTGGTGGCTGCTTCCATATTTCTAGAACAGATATCTGCTTTGAAGAATTTATAACTCACAGAAGGAAAAGAAGCAATATGAGAGGGATATGAAAGTGTGAGAGTGAAAATAGTTTAAAGCAGAGATTTTTTCTTAAATCCCATATGTATTATAACTACATTAAATATCATTCAATAAAATTTAGTTTGAAAAAAATGTTTCTATATAAAAACCAGTCGAATGTGCAGATATAAGAATTATAAATATTGCCCTTGCTGGTGTAGCTCAGTGTATTGAGCGTGGGCTGCAAACCAAAGCATCGCAGGTTCGATTCCCAGTCAGGGCACATGCCTGGGTTGCAGACCACGGCCCCCAGCAACCCCACACTGATGTTTCTCTCTCTCTCTTTCTCCCTCCCTTCCCTCTCTAAACACAAATAAATAAAATCTTAAAAAGAATTATAAAGATGATGATTTCATCAAAAAAGAATTATTAGTGACATCTTAAGCAGTATTGATTTCTGGGTATAAGCTAGTTTTTAGTTTTTTCAAATATGTGTATTAGTCTTGATATGAAATTAAAAATCTAAGTATGTTGGGAAAGGTGTGTGTGTGCGTGTGTGTGTGTGTGTGTGTTATGGGGGAGTGGTCAATTTTAAGGAGAGGAGAGTGTGTTGGAGATGTAGCTGGAGAGGCAGGTTGGAACCAGGGCTTTATTTGTTACATTTAGATCTGAGTGTTGGAGAAGACAAGTCTTAATTACCTTGAACCTGATTAAGCAATAATCCTTATTCTTGGTCTGAGTATGAACTTGAACTGAGCTCTGTTTTATTTTGAGTATAGGATTCTACATGAAGATATTACTTAGATCGTTCTGTATAAGGCAACATTACTGTGTCAGTTTGGCAGTAAATATTGCAAGAAGATGCTGAGTTCATTTTTTGAATATATGATAAACTCAAGAGAAATATTGTCAAATACTACACATTGCTAAAACCTTTCATACCTTGTTTAGGTGGAACCTGACCTTTTAAAAGTCCTAGAAACTCTTCTCACTTATATTAAATGAGATTTAAAAAACTATATATTTCAAGATTATGGTTGGAAGTAATTAAAGTTATATATATATAGCATGTAGAAATTTACAGTAAAAACTGGGTCAGTTTATTTCTTGTTTTTTTGAGGAAAAATTTAAGCTGCTCCAAACCTCTATGTTAATGTCAAATATAGGGTAAAATAATAGCTTACATTGTTTCAGTGCTCATTATATACTATGAGTGATATTAACATATTATCACATTTAACTTTTACAATAATCTCATGATATTAAATAGTATTTTCCCTATTTTATAGATGCGGAACATGATTTGCCTGTGGTCACAGCTGAAAATTTGTGGTGCCTGTATTAAAACCAGGTTTTTCTGTCCGGAATTTTTTATATTGCCTCCACACATGAATAGCTCAGTTTGGTATACAATTCTAGGTTGGGATTCTCCCCCTGCCCCATTCCTTAGCACTCAGGAGATACCCCACTTACTCCAGGCTTCCAGTGTTCCTTTTAAAGAGTTAGCTGTCAATATATTATCTTTCCTTTGTAGATAATATGTCATTTCTCTCTTGCTTTTAGCATTCTTCCGTTCTACTACATTGTCTCTAGGTGTAGACTTATTTTTATTTAAGAGAGTTATATGTCATCTATAGATTTTGGAAGTTTCTTTGCCACTATATGCTTGAATATTGCTTCTCCCTTCTTTTTCCTTCTCTTTCTACTTTCTGCATTTCTTTTTTTTAATGTATTTTATTGATTATGTTGTTACAGTTGTCCCATTTCTCCCTTTATTCCCCTCTGCCCTGTGCACCCCCTCCCACCCACATTCCTTCCCCCTGTAGTTCATGTCCATGGGTCATACTTATAAGTTCTTTCACTTCTACATTTCCTATATTATTCTTACCCTCCCCCTGTCTATCTTCTACCTACCATCTATGCTACTTGTCCTCTGTGCCTTTTCCTGATCTCTTTCCACCCACTCCCCTGCTGATAATTCTCCATATGATCTCCATTTCTGTGATTCTCATCCTGTTCTAGTTGTTTGCTTATTTTGTTTTTATTTTTGTTTTTGTTTTAGGTGTGGTTGTTAATAACAGTTTGTTGTCATTTTATTGTTCATATTTTTAATCTTCTTAGATAAGTTCCTTTAACATTTCATATAATAAGGGCTTGGTGATGATGAACTCCTTTAACTTGACCTTATCTGGGAAGTACTTTATCTGCCCTTCCATTCTAAATGAAAGCTTTGCTGGATAGAGTCATCTTGGATGGAGGTCCTTGCCTTTCATGACTTCAAATATTTCTTTCTAGCCCCTTCTTGCCTGCAAGGTTTCTTTTGAGAAATCAGCTGACAGTCTTATGGGCACTCCTTTGTAGGTAACTATCTCCTTTTCTCTTGCTGCTTTTAAGATTCTCTTCTTATCTTTAATCTTGGGTAGCTTAATGATAATGTGCTTTTGTGTGTTCCTCTTTGGGTCTCTCTGAGCTTCCTGGAAGTCTCTTTCATTTGCCAGATTGGGGAAGTTCTCCTTTGTTATTTTTTTCAAATAAGTTTTCAATTTCTTGCTGTTGTTCTTCTCCTTCTGGCACCCCTATGATTCAGATGTTGGAATGTTTAAAGATGTCCTGGAGGTTCCTAAGTCTCTCCTCATTTTTTGGAATTCTTGTTTCTTCATTCTGTTCTGGTTGAATGTTTCTTTCTTCCTTTGGGTCCACACCGTTGATTTGAGTCCTGGTTTCCTTCTTGTCACTGTTGGTTCCCTATACATTTTCCTTTATTTTACTTAGCATAGCCTTCATTTTTTCATCTAATTTGCGACCATATTCAACCAATTCTGTGAGCACCCTGATTATTGGTGTTTTGAACTGTGCATCTGATAGGCTGGCTATCTCTTCACAGCTTAGTTGTATTTTTTCTGGAGCTTTGATTTGTTCTTTCATTTGGGCCTTTTTTTTTGTCTCAGAGCACCTGTTATGTAGTAAGGGGAGGAGCCTTAGGTGTTCACCAGAGCAGGGCAACCCTCATCACTGCTTTGTGATGCTGTATGTAAGGGAGGGGTTCGATGCCACTTGCTCCACTCTCTGCTGGTTTTTAGTCACTTCCCCTGATACCCACAATCAAATTGGGTCCTTTTGGTGCTGATTCCCAGATGGGTGGGTTTGTATACATTTAAGGACCCTGTGGGTCTCTGCAATGAACCTACTGTGAGGCTGGGAGTTTCTCCCGCTGCTGCCTCAACTTCCACAGGTGTTTTCAGTCAGAGGTTTGAGGCTTTATTTCCCCAAGCTGGAACTCTGGGTTGGGTGGTCTGTCTGGCTCCCCAGTTGTTCCTCCTGGTTTGTTTACATGTGAATGTGGGACCACCCAGTCCACCAGCTGCTGCCTCATCAGGTCCGCCAGCCCCCACCTTGCTATGAGTTCTGTCCGCCTGGCTGCCCGTCTCCGCCGCTACTATTGGTCTGGATATTTTTTCTTTAACTCCTTGGTTGTCAGACTTCTCTTTGTTTTTTGCTTTTTAATTTGTTGTTGTCCTTCTTTTGGTTGTGCAAGGAAGTACAGTGTGTCTGTCTACACCTCCATCTTGGCCAGAAGTCCTGTTTCCACTTTTTTTGGATTATTTTTCCTTCTTTTTGTTCTGATATTTTTATTTCCTTATGTTCCAAATCATTGATTTAATTCTCAGCTTCATCCACTCTACCGTTGCTTCCCTGCAAATTCTTCTTTATTTCAATTAGTGTATCCTTCATTTCTGACTTTTTTTATGTTGTTGAGGTCCTCACTAAGTTCCTTGAGCATTCTTATAACCAGTGTTTTGAATTTTGCATCTGATAAATTGCTTATCTCCATTACGTTTAGCTTTTTTTTTGTGGAGTTTTGATCTGTTCTTTCATTTGGGCCATGCTTCTTTGTTTTTTCATTTTGGCAGCCTCCCTGTGTTTGTTTCTGTGTGTTAGGTAGAGCTGCTATGACTTCATATCTTGGTAGTGTGGCCTGATATAGTAGGTGTTCTGTAGGGTCCAGTGGCACACCCTTCCCTGTCCCCCAAGCTGGGTACTCAAGGTACATGCTCTGTGTGGGCTGAGTATACCCTCCTCTTGTACTTGAGCCATGATTGTTGTTGGCAGGTCAATGGAAGGGATTTACCCAGGCCAGTTGACTACAAGGATTGACTGTGACCACTGGCCACCAACCTCCATCCTCTGTGGAGGACCAGTGATACTGGGGCAGGCTGGTGGTACTCTGATGTGGTCTGTAGCTGTCCATTGGGTGCGCAGGCTTTGGGGTTTCCTGGGTGGTGTAGGCCAAGGTCAGCCTTTCAAGTGTGTTTTGCCTGGGACCACCCTCCCTGAGCTACAAAGTGATGTGCAGATAGCTGTTACTTGTGCTGGGCTTAGAGGTTTCTAGGTGAAGCCAGGCTGTGAAACTAGGTTGACTACTGCTAGTGCCTATCCTGGGGCCACTGAACAAGAGGTATTGGGTCTGGAGGCACCCTGAGAATGCCTGTTGCTTGTTTGACAGAATTTAAGAAGTTGTGAAATATGAGCCAAGACCAGCCATTCATAAAGACAAGCCACTGTTAACATCTTGGGTGGGCCTGTAAATTGGATGGTGTGGAGCCTCAGGGAATCACCAGGGTGAGGCATACATTGTTAGCCAGGTTGATGGAGTCTTAGTCTGCTATTGCCATGGCCTGGAGCTCTGTGGGTCTGGGTTGGGGGAGGGTTCAGAAAAGGAACAATGGCCTCTGCCTGCCATTATATTGGGAGAAAGCTGTCCGCCAGTTCTCGCCTTGATGCCAAACACTTCAGTTCCTTCCTGTATGCCCCTCTGGTGCCTTTCAAGTTGTTACCCTGGTGTGGGAGCTCAGAGGGAGTGAATCTGAGTAAGTCCATGTATGGGTTCTTTAAGGGGAACTGCTTGGGACTCCAGTAGTTCTTCCACTGAGTCAGTCCCTGCTGGTTTTTGTAGCCAGAAGTTATGGGGACTTATCTTCCTGGCACTGGAACCCCAGGCTGGTAGTCCTGGTGTGGGGCTGGGACCCCTCCATCCTGAGATATCCCTCCCAAATTTTGTCCACTACATGTGTGCACCAGCCAATTCTGCATCTTCATGTCTCCATGCCTCCTACGAGTCTGGATGGATGTGGTTTCTTTAATTCTGTCATTGTCAGACTTCCATTCCCCTCAATTTCTGATGTTTTGATTGATAATTGTTATATAGTTATTTGCAATTTTGATGTGGTTGTGTGAACAGGCGGCTGTGTTTATCTATGCCTCCACTTTGATCAAAAGTCCTCCCTTGAGTATTCTTATTATCATAAGTTTGAACTCTGTATCTGGTAGTTTGCTTACCTCCATTTCATTTAGTTCTTTTTTTAGAAACTTCTCCTGTTCTTTCACTTGGGACCTATTTCTTTGTCTCTGCATTTTGGCTGCTTCCCTATTTTTCTTTCTGTGTATAAGATTAGAGGTGCTACATCTCTCGGACTTGGTTGAGTAGCCTTGTGTAGTAGGTGTCCTGTAGGACCCAGTGGCACAGCTTCTCCAGTCACCTGAGCTGGGTGCTGTAGGTGCACCCCTCTGTGGGCTCTGTACACTGTCCTGTTGTAGTGGAGCCTTGATAGCTGTTGGTGTCACTAAGGATTGACCACAGGCCTGTCAACTTGGAGGACCAGCTGCAACTACAATGGAGGAGCTGCTGTGCTTGAGTCGACCCTGTAGAGCAAGACTTGCTTCAGTGGGTCTTCGATACTCACTCAAGTTGCCCATTGAGTGTTTCGCTGGTGGTGTTGGTAGGGTTTTAATCTAATCTGGTGTAGTCTGAAGCTGTCTACTGGATGCACTGGCTATGAGTCCTCCCAGGAGGTGTAGGATCACCCACTGCCTGTGCCCTGCCTGGGACCACCTGGCATAAGCTAGAGCAATCTGCAGATAGATGGCTGCTACTTGTGCTGGGCTTAAAGTTGCCCAGGAGAGGCCAAGCTGTGAACCAAGGCTGGCTGCTGCTAGTGCTGGGCCTGGAGCCACTTAGCAAGAGGTATGGGTTATGCAGAGGCCAAATTGCTGTTTGAGAAATTTTAGGAAAAGTCCCTGAGAGATTTTAGGAGAGTCTGAAGCATGAGCCAAGACAGGCCATTCATATGGAAAAGGCACTGGAAACAGCTTGGGTGGGCCTGCTTGTTTGATGGGGTGGGGGTGGCAGGTCTCCTGGAAGGGCAAACAGTGAAAGCCAGGTTGATGGCAACCCAGATATGGAGCTACCTGCTGGCTTTATGAGGGGAGGGCTCATCAAAGGAACAATGACCTCTGCCAGCACTTTTGTAAGGGAACAAGCTGCCCCTCTCTCTCAATTCTCACCCTGATGCC